TTTCTGAGATAAGGTCTCACAAACTTTTTGCATGGTCTGAACTGGAACTTCAATTCTCCATTCTTTGCCTTCAGAATAGCTGGGATTATGGGTGGGAAGCACTACACTAAATGTCATTCTTTTTCTCATTTAACAGCCTTTTTTTTCCCCAAAGTAGTTATTCACTTTTGTGGGTCTCATCATTCTCTTCCCAAGAGAAAAAATTCCCAAGAGTAAAATTACCTCAGTTAACTGGTAATTTCTACTATTCTTGTACAAAACATTCAACTTGCATTAATTTTTAAGTTGGACCTTAATTTCTAGATTACCACATACCCTAACTTTACTCAGGAACAGCCAGCTAACTTCCAAGTCAAAGAAGCCTAGTGCAGATTTCTTTGGACTTTGTTTTTTGTTCTTTTAAATATTTGAGCCTCTGTCCTTACTCTTCATTCATTGTTCAATACACCCTGCTTCATCTCTGATGCACAGAGCACCCTGATAGAAACTGCAAACAAAGGTCAATGAGAGGTTGTTTTCTTGAAGCTCAATCTGTGGCTGTGAGAGACACAAACAGACAATTAGATAACACTGCAAAAGAGTTGTGGCACTGATGCACTTATTTTATTGGCACTTGAAGGAGAAGAGAAGTGTTGTAATGATAGCTTTCTTTAGCTTTAGCCGGAGTTGACTTCAAGGCTGGATAATATTAAGCTCTCTGAAGAAAGGGAAAGGGTATTCCAGCTGCACCAGCTTGACGAAAACCACTGTCAATGACCCTCCTAACCTCCTAACACAGAGAAACAAAGGTGAAAAGGAACAAACAAGAGAACAGAGAAAGATCTAATACGTCATGTTTGGTTTCTAAAGTAAACCATCTCAAAGACTTTTTACAGTACAAAGGACACGAGACATGTTTTGGCTGGGCACCGTAGCCTGAATGACAGGCTAGGCTAGGATCACCTGCTTAGTTCAACCCCTCCCCTTCCCCACTGGCCTAGTGTTTGCCTCTAAGCTCTAGAAATCCTCTGGAATTCATGCCTGTAATCTTTAACTACTCAAGAGGATGAGATCTGAGGATCCAGTTGGAAGACAGTTAGGGCAGGAGAGTCCTTGGAGACTCTTTATCTCCAATTTTAAGAAGACAGCCGGGTGCTGGTGTAAACCTAGCTTCAGGAGGCTGAGATCTGAGAATCGAGGTTCAAAGCCAGCCCGGGCAGGAAAGTTGGTGAGACTCTTATCTCCAATAAACCACTAGAAAACCGGAAGTGGCGCTGTGGCTCAAGTGGTAGAGTACTAGCCTTGAGCTAAAGA